CACACACACACACACAGATCCCTCCACAGGGGGCTGTCAGACCCAGGACCACCGCTAACCTCCAACCCACCAGGTGTTTTCCACTTGACTGATCAGGCTCCAGGGAGGACCAGATGTGTTCAGGCTCATTTACAGTCAGTGTTACATTCAGACCTTAGTAATCACAGTTGATTAGTTCTTGCTGGTTCTGCAGAAAGCTGCAGCTGCAGTAGTTGTTGGGTTTCTGTGCCGCTGTGTGGAAACTCTCCCCCGTTTTCCTCGTGTTGTGTTTTTTTTTCGCCACCACAAAAGGACCAGGGAATATATGGGACGCCGAATAGCAGAGGTATAAATCAGACTTTAGAGGGAGGAGACACTAAACGCCAGCAGGGGGCGCACAAACCGGCCTGTACAGTGTGACCTCATTCACTCCAGCCAATCACAGAGCTCCTCACTGATCTGAAGCTTTGATTAATTAACTCTGGATCAGTTTTTGATTAATTCAGTAACCATGGCAACATGTTTTTAATTTGCTGCCACTCTTATTCACACCTCTGACCTCTCCATAGCAACAGCAGCTGATGTAGTGTAGTATTTAGTGTAAATGATTCTGAGAGAGAACCAAATGATAATACGACTTATATCCATTCAATTATTTTCTTCTGTCACTCCTTTGTTTCCTCCCTCAGATCATCCCTCACTTCTTTCCTCCATTGGAGTCTCAGGTCCGTCAGGGCGTCTTTAACTCGCTCACCTTCATCATGGAGAAGAGAGTGCTGGCGTAAGAAACACACACACACACACACACACACTGTTCCCTCTGACAGTCCACCAGATACTGATTATTGATTATTGATCACCCTCTTTCAGTCACCTCGCTCCGCTGTTTGATAATCCTAAATTGGACCGAGAGCTTCGATCGATGCTCAGAGAGAGATTCCCCGAGTTCTGCAGCTCGCCGTCCCCCCCCACTGAAGGTAACCCACACACCCACGCATTTGTAATTAACAAATAATCTAAAATTAATTTAAATAAAGAACCAATAACATGTCCGTCTGTCTGTCAGTGCTGTCTGACTTCCTGCCTGTGGCTCATTGGTTCCTACTGAAGACTAAAACTGCTCACAGATAAACAGCTGCACTATAGTTTCTGTCAGACAAACTGGAGGATGTTTCTTGAGGACTATTTTCAGTGGCGGATAAATCCACATTTGTGTGTGTGTGTGTGTGTGTGTGTGTGTGTGTGTCCTGCAGTTAAAATGGAGGAGGCCGTTTCCATGGACATGGACAACCACATGTTGGACAAGGAGGAGGGTTGCTATGACCACACAGAGGCTGCCTTCAGTGACGATGAGGAGGAGGTCAGCAACAAAGGTGACCAGAATAAACCAGTTTAAACCAAAATAAGTATGATCAGGACCAGTTGATAGTTTGACAAAAGGACTCCTATATCTGAGCTTTTAGCTGCACCTCACAGTCGGAGCAGACAGAGAAAGCTCATATTAATCAACTTACAGTAAAGGAAACCATTTCGAACCAGAACTGATTTTAATTCTAGTAAACAAATCCAACTAAACCAGTTTAAACTGTAATAAACGATTTAAAACTAGAATAAATCGTTTAAACCACAATAAACCAGTGTAACAAACCACTTTCACTTTCACTTTATACTGAATAAAACCAGTACACTGTAATAATCCAGTTTACATGGTAATAAACCAGTTTACACTGTGTAATGAACCACGTTGTAATAATCCAGTTTACAGTGTTATAGTGTACCAGACCCAGTTAAACCAGTTGATCCAGTCTAAAGACCCAGCTGTTCTACCTGCTGCAGGTGATTACGTCACACTGCTGTCTGACGATCTGTCGACCAATCACTGTGCAGGAAAGAAGAGGGAGTTCAGGTTCCATCCAATCAAAGAGGCTGTGATTGAGGAGCCCGCTGACATCACTCCCTGGCTCGACCAATTAGACGATACTATGAAAGAGAAAGTTCAACAGCTGCAGAAGACCAGGTGAGAGATGTATTGATAATCTATCATGGTTTATTGATCATCTGTATAATAGCAACAACAACAGCAATGCTAAAAATGTCTCCTCAGTGACACAGAGACTCAGTGTGAGGTGATGCAGGAAATCGTGGATCTGATCCTGGAGGTGAGTTTTCTCTCATACAACAACTTTATTGTACTTTATTATACTTTACTGTACCTCACTGTACTGTGTTGCGTTGCAGGAGGACTTTGACTCGGAGCAGATGTCTGCTCTGGCTTCCTGTCTGGCTGAACTGTTTAAAGATCATTTCAGAGGAGACGTCCTTCCTGAGGAGATCACTGAGGAGTAAGAATGACGAGGGGGGGAACCAAAAACACTTTATTCCATTCAAATACTAATATTCAACCCAGTTTAACTAAGCCTCGTCCCTTTTGGAACCAACTTCCTCCTTTCCTGTGCTTATATATGCTATATGCTAGGCTAATCTGTGTTGAAAAGGCAACCACATTTTGAAGATGGTTAAGAGATAAAAGAGACATCTACCGATCAGCCCTAACACAGTAAGCAGTGACAGTAACACAGATTATCTGGTTATCAGGGCTGTGTATATACAGTCAAATCTTAAGTTAGCTAGCAAAACACTAGCTAACTATCTACATATATATATAGTCACATCTTAAAGTTCTGGTCCACTACGTAGAAGAGGGCCCTCTGTAGATTAAAACGTCCAATTATACACTAATGAAAACAGACATATATATCAATGTCAAGAAATATATTGTGGTGTACAACTAAACATTAATATAACGTTGTGGTGACCCACAATGAACACAAAGAGACATTCACCAGGAGACTGTACCTTTAAGAGAGAGGTCATAAGGTGTGCGAGTTCCGGGTTGTGGTGGCGTTGCAGTTGGCACCAATATTAGGCTGCAAATTACCCATAAAAATGTAATTTTACCTGAAACACAGCCAACCGGTCTTTAGCACTGATAGGGTCCTTATTAAATCCTAAATGAAGTCCTCTTTTAGAATGAATAAAAGCTTTCTTCAAGAGTCAACAGCTCTCTAACACAGAGAGAGAGAGAGAGAGATTAAAGAATCACTGGGAGCCCAAACCTGTCCGTCTCTGTCTCATTACCTGTCTGTCTCTCAGGTCCCTGGAGGAGTCTGTGTCTAAGCCGGTCTGTCTGGTGTTCAGGAACCTGGTCACCATGCAGGAGGATAACAGCGGGTTCTCTGTGCTGCTTGACATGTTGGCTGAATTTTACCAGAAACAGCCCAAGATCGGATACCACCTGCTGTACTACCTCAAAGCCAGGTGAGTGTACAGCACACGCAGCTCCTGATACACACACAGACACACACACACACACAGACACAGGACATAATTCTGCCTCTGTGGAAATGTAATCTCTCTCTCTGTCTGTCTCTCTGTCTCTCTGTCTCTCTGTCTGTCTGTCTGTCTGTCTGTAGTAAAGCGGCCAACGGTAAGATGATGCTGTACGAGTCTTTTGCTCAGGCGACAGCTCTCGGTGATCTACATACCTGTCTGATGATGGACATGAAGGCGTGTCAGGAGGATGACGTCCGGCTGCTCTGCTACCTCACCCCCTCCATATACACTGAGGTACACTCACTCACTCACTGACACTCACTCA